CAAATTCACTTTCTTCAGCAGATTAGTTAGTTACAGGTTACGTCTTACTATATATAGTTGTTGATAATCGTTAATTACAATAATTGAGAATTACGAAATAGCTAAGGTAAAACAACATAAATAGAGTTAAATTAGCCGATGGACACATTAAAAAACTCCAAAGTTGAATTCCAAAGTTTAATCCAGCCATCCAAGAAAACCCAGCCATTTTTGCAGACTTAAGGTGCTTTTTCAAATTCAGATAATTCATTCAACAGCAATTAGTTATAGTTAATTTAAGTACCGAAAATGATGCTTTTGCTAAATTTTGAAGAATTAAATATCAGGAAATATGAAATAAAAATATTGATTTGATATCAGTAATAATTACAAAACGAAAGCTGTAGGACATGTTGGAAAAAATTATTAGAGCTATCTGGTCACATTCCCCTGTTTGTAGCGCATTTAGGTAATATTAGAATTTGAAATATGAATTTACAAAATTAAGCAACAAATTAAAAAACATGTGAGGCTGAAATTTTGCGAAAAAGTAATTAAGCCAGGCTGAAACTTGGGCCGAGTGATCTTATAAAAAGCATGCAGTTTAATAGCATTTCAACTTGGTGGTGAGTAATTTTTTAGTTTTGATTTTTTATTTATTTCAAAGGATATAGATCGTTTTAAGTTTTTGAGCCGTTTAGAAAAAGTAAGGGAAGTGTGCATTTTTCTCAATATTCCCTAAATCCAAATTTTCTTGTTTCTGGAAAAGTTTATGAAAGTCAAGGCCTTAACATAGAACGATATTTGTATTTGTATTTGTATAGGTTGCTACCTAGCATCCGAAGGTAGTTTTTAGGACACTGAGAAGCTTATGCTTATCAAGCAGTGTCCTGGTCCTTTCTCTCGATGTGACCACACCTCATGATTCCTGTGCCTGGAGTTACAGAGTACTGGTGACTCTCCTCACTCTGGGTGAAAGTTTGGTCATGCCAGGGACTCGAACCACAGACCCTTGGGTCTGTAGTCAGCGCCTCTAACAACTGAGCCATCCTCTAACGGCGAGAATAATTTCAGGAAAAAATTCATCAAACTATATTATCAATAGCTTGATTAACAGTATAAACCTTGTTGATTTTACTTCCAAATTGCCAAACCTTGACGCACGTTTATTGAATGGTTCAAGTGGACTGAAGACATTAACAGTCAAATTTTAGCTTTCTTAAAATCTTTTTTATATGTTTGTTACCAAGGTTTTCACAGAATTCACCGATTTCATATCTACCACTTTCAGATTAGTGTTGAAATTTTGCATTTTGCATTTGCAGGCGAGACGTGAATTCGAAATATCAGCGTCCTGGTTAGATTTTGATGTAACAAGTGCATGAAAAGTTTAATATTTGCGAATAACTTGTTTAACTTCGCTAAACTTACCAATTATCATAAACTTTTAGCGACAATACCTCATTTCATGCCGACTTTATATCTACAATATGTAATCAGACCATCACAGCATCGGTTCATTTTCACAGCAGGCAAGTATAAAGAAAATTCTAAAAAGGGTGAAAATGTACTCACCAACCAACGATATCATCTCAAATCGCATGAAGACAAGTGTTTGGCAGAGCTGCATTCCGTCTTGTTTGAAGCAGTACAATGTTTTGAAGAGCTACACTGGCCTAAGAAAACGGATGATTCGAAATCACTGTGAAAAACATGCTTCTTCCCTGGACTCAACACTCACTGTTATCAAAAGAAAAGATCTTTTTACAATCGCTCGACAAAACATCTCACGTTTGGCAAGTGCGCACGTGCAAAGGAACGATAACATACAGGGAGTCTAGATTTTTAATTCTTTGATTTAAAGTTGCTATTTAGAATTACTTGAAGAAAAGCTAGTTTAGGGCAAACATTTACAAACGTACATGCAATACAAAAGAAATACAATTACTTGTCCTTCTTTTCAGAAGTAAATGAAATGCACTGCAAATATTTTTAGCTAGATCGCTAACTATTAAGAAAGCACATCAATCTAGATAAAGAAACACTTCTGGGAAAATCTGCAACGCAAGAAAAGCATTGACAATTTGGCAGAAATTAATAAAACGTTTAATGGTTTGAAGCCCCTTTTTATGTAAGAAATATTATTCATAGATGAATGCCCATATAACTAAAGGAGCTCCCAATTTAAAACATCGGAGCCATATTACAAAATATAAAAATTTAATACCGTATCATACAGATGAAGCCCAATCCGGAACTCAGTTCCAAACGAGATGAAATACTCCCTTACTTTACAAGTGTTCAGGAGAAAATATCAGAATTTTCATCATTCAATTGAACTTCTGATCTTTACAAGGAATACATATGCAGCATCGGTTATTTTTGGTTTAGATTATATTTAGTTTTGGTAATTTAAATTAGTTGGTTGACAACATTTGTCAGAATAGTACAATGTACAATATTTGTGCATAGTATTATGTACAATATCTGTGTTGTCATCCATTAAAGCAACAAAAATCATTTAGAAATTCAGTTTTAGCCAGCTTATGCTGTTTAATTTTACTGCAGTTTTATTCTTTAATTGTCGAAGAATGTTCTGCAACTATTTCCAATGCTATCCTCTAGTCTTCATTGCATTACTTTCCAAAACAATTCTGAATACACATAGAGAGCTTCTACTGTTTTTTGTTCCATTTATTAAAGTTTTTGTTGTATCATTTATTAAAATTTTGTACAATTGAAGATTTCAGACCTGAGCTCTATCTCAATATCTTTTAAAGCTGCTTCATTCCAAGATTTTTATATTATTAGAAGAATAAGTTTTGAGAAGCCTTTAGTATGCACCATTGCAACTTAAGTATTGCTGCTGATTGTGTATACCAATAGCATCCATACCAACAAGTATTAATTAAGGTCACTAAATCAATTTAGAAACAAGCTGGTTTTTGAATCGAATAGTTCTCGAAGAAAATCATAATTTTGATTACTCGCAAGTTTTGCTTTGGTCTTCACAAGTATATCAAAAACAGTGGCACGTCATTCATTTAAAGAGAGCTTGAGGTTTTCTGCAATTACTGAGATCCCGATGTCTTTATCTAAAGATCAGTAGAAAACTCGAGTTTCTATCAGTTGAATTATAAAGCGGCTTTTGCCATCGCATCTCAGATCAATCACTGCCTATGCAAGTTGATAAAATTCAACCACATTGCCTTTTTGGTTATTGGATGCAGGATGCATTGCATCAATAATTGACACTGGAGTCGCTGAAAACCATCAGCAAGATTTTAACGATGCGGGTACAGAATGAACATTTTGTCAATAGTTTAGAGGCACAGAATTACAATTCTGGTTTTTCAACGCAAGAGAAATTGCTTCGATAATTGAGATTGAGGATGCTGAAATCCAACAATATGACTTTAACGGTGCGGAAACGAAATCGAAAATCTGCAGTAGTTTAGTGGTACAGGTTAGGAAAAAGAGAAAAACAAATTTTGCTTCCATGCTGTCAAATGAAAATCTATTGCGATAAACCACACAGTGATTCATCAACTGCGAATATCGGTGACATCACATCATAGATGTGGGCGATTATAAATGCAATTATTTAGATTTTATTGCATTTTACAAGTTGAAGAAGCGAGTTACTCAGGAAGCTTGGCAACGCGGTGGCTCCTGTAAAACCACCTTTCATCGCTTACTCATCGAAGAATGTCGTGCTTTTTCGACCTGTAATGGTGAACTGCGAAATAACATATTTATTCAAGGCAGTCATTTTACAAACTTGAAAAATAAAAAGTTCCTTACAAACATGATGAATTTGAAAACTACATTTATGAAACAGTATATTGCAAGAAAGTCTTAATATTGAAGAAATCAAGTGGCAGCGCAAACCATAATTGGTACCAAAAATAAATCGAGCATAGTATATCAGACAGACAACAAATAAAAACTCGTTGCATATGGATAAACAAAGTTTTATAATCTTCGTCAGACTCATTTCTTCATTTTCTGTTTATTTGCTACAAATTTAGAAAGACACCTTTTATCTATAGTTAGTAAATGAATTCTTCTAATGCTAAGAACAAAAATCTTGGCACATTCAGTTAATTTAACCTGAGTTTAATTCAACAGATAACGCATATAATACAGAAATATTACATGCTCAATTATACAGAAACAAACTGTATGCTCTTGACGGACAGCATCGATTTTCGAAGTGTTTCATCAGAAAAGCTTGATTCAAACGTTATTTAACCACTGTATTTAACAGTACACGGTTGCTGCGGAGGAGGCATCCCAGCATCCTACAGTGTCGTTGTCCTTATTTCGTCATTAGTGTTTTCTAATGCTACTTGAATGTAACTATAATGTCTCTTTATATGTTTAAACGCGACCGGTGAATCGGGAGCCATAATCGTATTATTATTTTCATAACTACCTACTTCACCGATCGATTCTCCAGCATCCATATCCTCGACGCCATTATCCTTGCTTTCACAATTCTCATTATTTTGGGAACTATTCCGGTTAGATGCAATTGGCTTCTCCTCTCTTCTGTTCGCCATTTTGAAGCTCCCTTTTTCCCTTGATGCTCTTCTCATGAATGTTAGAGCAATTCCTGCTGCACGCCAATGTCGTCTAGTCAAATTTCGTTCGAATTCCCTTTGAAATTCTCGCGTTCTCCAGCAATAAGCAAACGGAGAGATAATGCTTGAGAAAAAGGACATCACCTTGACAATAAAGCCAACGAGGTTCTGCGCAGAACTACTGAATAAAACAGATATGCAACGACCGCAAACGTTTTCAACAAAATAGTAAATTGCGATCGGTCCCCAACAAAGAACAAACACGCCTACAAGCAGTGAAGCTGTCTTAGTTGCACGAAGCTCTAGTATTTTCACGACTCTTCTTGAAATTTTCTTTTTGACTGAAACAGCTTTGCTGCATCTTTTGCGCTGCGGGTCTTCGGCGACACGTAAGGCAATCAACCAAATCCAAGCGTAAGTCAAAGTTAGAAAGAGAAAAGGCACGAAAATCGCTAATACTATCACGGTCACGTTCCACGATGGCCACGGATTATACACGCAACCGTCGTGGTCAGGAACGTTTCCGAATGGTAAAAGATCAACTAAAACGACCAAAAATGTTTCAATTGCAACACCGACTGTCATAGTGAAGCGATTGACAATCGATTCATACCGCAGTGGCAGTCTGATAGCGATGATGCGATCGACACATACCAGGACCAAATTCAATGTCAGCAAATGACCGCACACAAAATACGGAAAGCGGAACACATCGCAGATCCATTTTGGTTTATAGGAAAAGTCTAAACGTTTTATACAATATGCCGGAACGACTACGAATCCTTGTATCAAAGCTGTTATAAGGAAGCTGATAATTGGGTAATTGGCAGGCTTTAGGAGTTGGGGGCTCGAGAATATTGTGGCTAACGTGAGCAAGTTTACGATGACGATTGCAACCCCAACGCCAGCCAAAAGTGGGATCACTATGAACATCGATATCATTACGTTTATGTCATCTCATCACGTAGACATAAAAGATGGACGTGATCTGAAATAAGCACAAACTGCCGATTTAAAGGATCTATAACAATTCAGAACATGTTGCCCGTGGATATTCTATGCCTGATACTTCTCACTTAATACCTCTTTACTATCCAGTCTCCCTTCAAAAAAGAATGAACACAACGTGAATCAGCTGATGGCTAGCTACCACCTTAAATGTTTGGAGACTTGCCACCTTGACTTGAAACGTCTATCTTGACATCTGCAACATCAAATGGAATTAAATCTATGAGAAATAAAGACATTTGCGTAAGAATGGTCTGCCATTAACTTTGACAGCAATCATTGAATTTTAACACGTCATTAAACGTTAGAGAGGTGCAATCTAAGCGAAAAACACTTAACTAATAGATGAAAAACATGTTAAAAGATAGAGAATATTTTAATAAAATATTAACAAAGGCTCCGACAAATAAATTTAATGTTCACCAGGATGTCAATTCATTCATTTTTCAAACTTTCATTGCAACAAAAATTAATAATGCACATGGATATATTTTATTCTAAAGGATTAGAACGGAAATCTTGTTACCAACAATTTTCAAAGGTTACAGTCAGAGAAAAGAGACGGTAGATTATGACATATTTTTAATAATTTCAATTTAAATATATCAATGGAGTCTTATCCGGAAATTCCGTAAAGAAATTCCTTAAATGATAGGAGAAAGATTGCGTGCATTTATAGAATTTCATTGGCACGAACAAGATGATGATAAACCATATTGAAGGAAAATCATCAGAGTTAAACACAAATATAATAGAGCTTCATAAAAAACGTGTAAAAATGCGTTCTGTTGTGGCAAGGTGCGGGATGCAGACAGAGCTGAGGAGATCCTTCAATCGACATTAGGCAATCAAATGTAAAAAAGTTAGTACAGAGAAAACAAATGAATTTAGGACTAAGTTGGATACATTAACTGACGTTATTCTTGCAAGACACAGGGAACTTTTGCAGCCTTTTTCCGTGGAATTAGAAGTACGAGGAAAGTGGTGCAAAAATATATCAAGAAGTCAAATCTGCATATCAAAAATATGTCCTATTATCAGTGTCATTCGCATACATAATTCATTTAGAAAATTGTGTTTTACCTTAACTTCAAGTCTGGACAGGTTTTTAGATGAACTGCGATAAATGAGGAAACTTTGTCGTAAAACTTCTTCCTTTAGAACTCGCGCAAATTCTAAAGCGGCAATTTTCAGAAATAGTCATGAGTGTACTAATACTTGCGAAGTATTAATTCATACGATCATGCATGCCAATTACCTTCTTGCCAACAAGCTTATCACGCAGAACCAAATTGAAAACAAAGAGTGGTTGTATAATGCTTTGGAAATTGAATACAATAAAAGAATATCGAAAAGATTTTCATTAGCAACATTGAATTTTCTAATGGAAATGAGAAAGACGCTAAGTCTGAAGATTTATCCAACAAGAGAGTTACGGAAGTTCCCTTTTTGTGAAAGACCTGACTCAAAGTTAGAATTTTATGATTTTCATTATAATGACAAGGTCTACGAATATCGAAATTGACAAAAAGGCATCAGGTGCATGCGTTCAGGTACTCCAAGGCACCTGAGGCGAATATGTTAAAAAAATAAACTTAACTGTTGCATTTGCAGTAGTATTTTTCGTACAAACGAGAATTATTGTGCGTTTGAGAGCATGAATTGTATATTTGAGAGCACATAAACTATTTTCCATGATGTCTAGATGAAATTGACGAAAACATGATTATCCCCTATCAGATTTTTATCAGCGAAAAAAGACATTTGTATGTAGAATGTGCTCTTTTAGGATTTGGAACCTGGTGTTTTGTTCATCTGCTTTACGATTGTTTGAGGCTCCAAGGAAGCCCACACTGAATTAAATGTAGAACTAATAATGAGTCTGAGAAAGGACAATAAAATTACATACGCTGTTGAACAAAAATGGAAAACAACAAGCGAGTGTACACCAACCCCTTGAATAATGATGGAGAGTCTTAGTGCTTCCCGATTGCCCGGAACCTTTCCGAGGGGCAATTCACTCTTGCAAATAGCGTATGAAATTTCGACGAAAAAAAGATTTCCAGGAATTTTCGTATAAAACAAAAGAATTCTGCTAAAGTCGCACGTCATTCCCACTTTCAACATTCCCTTTGCAGTACGTGTAAAGGCCGATTTCCATTTGACATTTTTTGTACGCGCGGGCGTAGCGCTCAAATTTGAGCATGCGTAGATAAAATCAAGTAGTCTCGATTTTGCGTCCGTTGTGAGCGCCAGAAATTTGATAGGGTCTCAACTTTTTTGTGCGCTCGGCCACTTGACAGCAGCACTTAACTTCGCATGCTCAGATTTGGGCGCTACGCCCGCGCGCACAAAAAATGTCAAATGGAAATCGGCCTTAAGTCTGATTTATGCTGAAATCGAGGAGACTTCGCGACCACAAGTAATTTGTTGTGTCCAGAGCAAGACAGCTGACGTAGCGCCAATTTGCAAGTCAAAGCATTGGAGAAAATCATTCATGAAATTAAAGCTTAAGGTCAATGAGTTTGAATCAAGGAATTACACATACTATCATTCATAATAGCTTTAGTTTACACAAACATTATGCAGATGGAATCAAATCGTTGTTATAATGGACAAATTTCACCCGCTAATCGTAGCAGTAAAGCCTAAGCGCCCGGCCTCCACTGTTAACGAAACAAAAGTTTTCTTAATGAACAGAGACGTGTAAACGGCTGTTTTCGTCAATCTTCAGAAATTTGATTTATTTTGAACACTGGACTATTTTAAGCTGCAAGAAATTTAAAAATGAGCTATTTTAAGCTGCAAGAGGTTTTCAAATGGCCGTCTTATTATAACTTTCAAACGGAGTTATTCCTTTATTAGATTCAAACGATTTATCTCTTCAAATCAACCCTATATCCTCGTAATCATTACAGATCCTGCGCTTTCAAGCCTTCGACAATATGTTATTTTTATTTTAAGCTACCATTACAATCTAAAATTACTTTATTATCCAGATTTTATAAAATAAAAGAGAGAAAAACGTTCTCTGCTTGGTTTTCAAACTTTATATCGATTAAAAAATATACGTATTAAAACCCCACAGGAACGTGGTCTTTTCTTGGTCTTTGTTCGGTGCACTGGAAATTCTAATACATATGCAGATGGTGCATAGCTGAGCCTGAAGGTTTCGTCAACAACAGAATTTAAGTGAAGCATCAAATCCGAAAGAATATTGCAACGGGCTAGGAAGGAGAGTTTTTAAAGCAATATAGTAGCGATTCAATATAGAAAGTATGAATAATTTAGTAAAAACACTAGACTGCCAAGGATTAAATGAAGGCACTTAACTAGCAGTATGTCCAAAGCGACTTACCAAATGACATCTATTGACGAATTATCATTTTGAGATCATAAAAGCGGTCTTTATATATGAGGAAACAATGAATCCAGTTTAAGCAATTAGACTCATGCCTTGTAATTACTTGATATGACTTAATTCTATCTAATTTATACCAATTTTTACCCATATTTTATTATCTTTATGAACTGATCGACTGGTGCTTTTCCTAGCTTGCTGAACATTTTCCAGCTGAATTCAACCCCTGAAAGTTACCTATTTCTGTATGCTAAACAAAATAACTTTAAAATATGAAATGGGCGTATTAAAAGAACTGTTTTATGCTCGTAAATGCTCCCAAAATCAACTGCTTTGAACATCTTTAATAGATAAGGTAAACAGATATAGAATTACCCAGAGCTCTTTCTCGCCAGGGCTGTTTTACTTTAAAATATTTTCTAGCCTTTTTTGAAAGCTTTGAGAACTCTTTCACAGATTTGATAAGGTCCACCTGCTCTCTGGAAACTTCCTAAAACGCGTACTTGTTAACGAAAGTGCTGCAAAAACATCCATGCTATTTGAAAACATCAAGAAAAGCTATGCTAAGATGGGTTCGTCTCTCATCAACTAAATCTAAATAAAAAAAATTTCATACTTCTAGCTCGTCATCTAAAACCCTTTGACAAATAGGTTGATCGCGTAGCCTCTGATCTTTGACATCTTATGAGAAGTGGCTACTCCTTTCGGCTTTTAAAAGCTCTGCGTGGACAACCTTCACGAAAACAACGCAGTGCAATACTGTGAAATTAATAAGCCAACGGAATATGAAAAACAATTGGTCTAAGTCCATATATCTGCGCGAAAGTCTTGCTTCGAAACTAACACCGCCAAGTCAGAACAGATGTTTCTTCCTTTTGCAGAAATGGCAGTAAAAATTGTGTTTATAAATAATGGATTGACAAAGGCTGAAGAAACAGGGGGATCAAGCATACTCTGATTCAAGAACTGAAAACACGACTCTAGATTCTAAAACAAATGGCCTTGCTTGAAGCTCATACATTTTGGCGTTAAGTTGGTATGATAATTCTGGAGATTCTGATGCGATAAGTATGAGATGCCATAAGATAATAACTGAGAACGAGGCAATTCGAAAATAGATGCGACAAAGGATTAAAGAGGGGATCAAGATGATCATTTGACTGGCGTTTTAAATTTGCCGTTTAAGCATCTACCCCTTTTATGAATATGAGTTTTGACAAAAACAAGAAAGAAGGAAAGAAGACAGAAAACAATGTAATATAAGTGTTATGCTGTCACATTGAAATTCTTTGACTGAGCTTAATTAAAGATTAAGTTACCAGAAATTATTTATAGCGAACCCACCACTACAATTTATCAGTTGAATATTAATCATAAACGTTAAAGATGAAACTAATAAACGGTCTTTCCCGACATAACTTTGATATTAAATGGTTTGCCATATCTAATGTTATTGAGGATTAATGAAAAGAGTAGGCGAATCACTAACTTATGTCATAAAAACATACTATAGAACTTTAATCTAAGAAGCAGACGCAAAGATGATATATCTTTAGGAGGGCACATCTATAAAAATAGATTAAGAGAGGTCAGATGATTGTTGAAAGTATTTTTAGTAGAAGGAAGATTCAGCCAGATGAATGAGAAAACAAGTCATGATAACTTGAAAAAACAGCGATCGTATAACAAACAGTTGTAAATAGGCCAATGACTGGGACTAATTGACCAGGGTCAAAATACTCGTCTCTACGCGACAGAGGCGGACTCGGGATAGGCCTCTCAAAACATTTCATGTGGGCCTCTTGGATTTTTCTTCCTTTTAAGCTTATGTCATTTACAACATCAGATTTGTGAGAAGAAACAAGTTAAGTAAGGCCCCTAGCTGTCTCTGCGACACTCATTTCCAACATATAGTAAGTGATGACAAGAAACTATCAGCATCAAAATTTTCTACCCCTAAAAACTTTATTTTTCCGCCCTATGAAAATTCCTACAACACCCCTGAGACACGATAAGGGTGGGAAGGACTATAAGATCGATGAATTCTACGGATAGTTATAGGAGTATATTTTTGAGGGCCTCTCAGGGGTTATGGGGAACATGGGAACCTGCCATTTTCTATATCGAGGATCATTTTAAGAACATTTGAAAAGGTTTTAGGGAACATTCAAGAAACATATTTGTTAAGAAGGGAGATTTTTCGAAAATGTTTAGTGACCATGGGAGCACAGACCTCCTTCTCCGGGGCCTCATTTTTGTGTGGTTAAGATTAATTAACATACGAAAAAGTGGCTTAAAGAGGTTGATTGATTGATTGGTTGGAGAGAAAAATTGATTGCAAACCTGACTGAATGAAAAACTGCATGATAAGTAAGGCAACCAAAAGTTATGCGAAGAAAAAACAATAACAGTGAAAAATGCAATTTTATTAAACAAAGCTTGTGATTAAAACCTGGACATCAAAGCAAATGCTTGAAACTTGCGTTTGAAAATCAGTTGTTTTACCAAACCTAACTGAGAAAATACCTCATGCAAACATATTCTAAGCAACCATGGACTTATTTTACACTGCGAGAGACAAGGTATGTTGAAAATTGTTGACACATTTAGTCGAAATCATTTGTAACACTCTGCGCTTAAGCTTAAAATCTCGATATTTGTGAGTTGGCCTAGAAACGGTGGTCAAAAATGATTGTTTTGGTGTTTCTCGGGTTGCGTATGACAGCTGTTAATTTTACTATGCTGTTTTTGCTTTGAGAGGGCTTGAAGAGCTTTCTTGTCTCAGATAAAAACAGAATGTAATGGACGCATGTGACGCAAGTATTCTACACACGCATTCTTATAATTTGGGCCAGGTTCAAACATAGAACATTTAAGGAGAAGAGGCGCCTTTGTCTGTCGCGTATTCCAGCATAGGGGAGAGACGTATTCCCTCTGACATAGTCTCAAAGAGGCACAGCCCAGGCAGGGGTCTGGGGACCCAAACAAATATTGCCCTGCCAAATCAAGGGGTGACGCACCAAAGACCGAGATATAACTTTTTGTTTAGGAGGTCCAGCCCTGATAAATAAGTGTAACAGCAGCCATATTTTACAAAATAAAAGTGTTTTACTTTGCTACTTTAGTTTCCAAGACCCCCTCCCGCCGGTATCTCGTTCCTTGGTTAGCAACCAACAATCCCTGGACCCCTGGGTCCGGCCCTGGTCAAAGTAATTTTTGAAGAGTTTTAGCCATAGTATTTAAGCAAAATGAGTTGGCGAGTTAAATGAAGGGAACAGGAATTAGTATGCAAGTATCGTATCTGTAATGCTACAACGAACGTGCGACCCATAGTGTACCCCCTTAAATGAACTGTTTTGGAAAATCAAGTTAAGGATACAATGAATAAGCAAAAACTCACAAAAAGGGGAAAAGCAGAAAAAATTGCACCAATGCTACAGATAAACAGAACGTAAAAAAACAATAAATGTACCTCTCATGATGATACCTTTTTCAATGGATTGTCTCGAAAAAGAGTTTCATGTACCATTGTCTTGAGTAAAAAACTAACGCTGGGTAAGAAGCGAAATCTCGAGCTGAAAAGCAATGCAAGACTTTATCATTTGAATATCGTCGCCTTTTGGTCGCTGCTATTATTGCAAAGGACAAAATGGCGCCCGTGTTAGGCTTTTGTGTTTCATCATTAAATATTGATATAAGAAAAAAACAATTGCCATTCTTCGTAATTTCTGAAAAAAATTACAAAAAAGAGAAAAACTATCTTTCTGCAACACAAATTTATGTCTGCGTTGCTAATCTATATAACGCGAAGTTTGAATTTGTGGATGGGGTTATTCAAGAGATTAGGCTAAGCATGAGCGAATCAGGATATATGCAAGGTAGGTGCTGAAAAGAGTCGAGACTCGGATTTTCAGGGATATAGAGTAAAAATAGATGGTGTGAAGAGGAAGTGCGGGGTAAAAAGGAGGAAAGAGATGGGTTGAGCAAGGAAAAATTGGAGGAAAGCATCAGTGGGGAGTCAGGAAAAACAAGCAGATGTCATCTACATACAATTAACTTTGCCCTATAAATTTGGAAAACGATCTTCAGGAATGACCCAGGGAAAGAGATTTTGATAGAGGTCAGAAGTATTTACAAAAATCGAGATGATCAGTTACTTTGGGTACTTTGAGAAAATTTAAGACTTTAATAAGCTAGTTGATTATTTTGGAAACATTAAGATTATCTTTCCTTTGATGAAGCATTCAAACCATTTTTCGATCAAATTCGCTGGCAGAGCCAGCAGTTTTTGATGAAATTTCCTTCTGTGTTATTGTGGCATCCAGATCCTCGATCTGGGTGAAAAACACCATCAACGATACAATAGCAACAATAAGATTTCATATCAGATGCTCTAACTTGATGGTAAAACTTCACTAAAAGATGAGGATACTCGGTGATTAAAATTCTTGATTTTTATCACGAATTAATTGGCGAGAACTGTGTTCACTAATTGCTTTTCATCCTTAAAACCACAAAAGGGCGATTTTCATGAGTTGAGATGATGACAAATAGATTTTTGGAATCTTATCTCTATTTCCATTAGAAAAGAATAGCTTTAACATGTTTGCTGTCTGCGCGAATCAAATCCAGTTTGCGTATCATTTTTGGTTTCCTCGCCAAGCAGTGGTTTCGACATCCACGGGTTGCCTCAGCTTCTAATCAAATTTTCATAGTAAGATAAGGTTTTTAGCGAAAAAACTTCGCTAAGATGGAAGAGCTGACGTTTTCGGTAGCGTATGCAAGAAGGAAGTTTAGATAGGATAAAACAACAAATCAAATTGAAGTATAAAATCGATTTCTAATCAACCAAGCTGATGTGATCATTGCATGAAACTCAGGCTTACATAACAAACATGGGCAAAAGATCTAGCTTTAAATAAATTCGTCAGTTCAAGCCATTCCATATATCACTTTGAGGTAAAATGTTGTGCATTGTACACTGCTTTCCTTTCTAGAAGAAAAAGAACCAATCGGTTCCAGACATTCATCCTTCAATCGTTATTAGGGTCCTTGGTCGTTATTATGGCCCTTAAAAATTTGGCTCACCGCTAAAATAGGGGTATGCAGTCCTCTGACATCATCCAGGAGTGGTAAGCAAATGAGTAGTTACTTGTTCATAAATGTTATCGTAACGATACTGAACCTGTTTGTGAGCTTTCGAACCAGGGATGTATCACAAGGAGCAATCCGTGTGCCTTTTTTTTCATTCACTTTTCCAGCGAACACAAAGACACAGTTTATAACGTCAATGAATAAACAACAGGATCTACCAGAAAGTGGGAGCACACAATTTTTTCTTTTACTAGAGGAAAGCATAGCCTGTGAATGATTTCATATTTTAAACAGAGAAGTCCCTTGAGAAGCGGTCACAACTAGAAGATTTACGTTAAATCTTCGTGAATGTAGTCTCTTTCTTTGCAGATCTTCTGCAAAAATCTCTTTCGCTTTCATCAAAACACCAGCGAGGTGCATCCCGTGCTCTTCTTCTTTCCTGCTTAAGAAGCTGTTAAATAGACGGACGTAAACAGCTCGCATAAATGTCATCTGATTAAACGACTCTATATTTATAAATACATTTTATTAAGAAGAACACAAATTCAGATGAACCTTTCAATTGATGCAATTATACAGTGACTTAACCAGGTGATTTTCAATAGCTTATAGCTTAACTCTAAAATTCTACACAATTGAATTATCCAATTTCATTGCTGACCTACTAAATGACAATTCCAATTAATCTGAATTTAGATGAGCTTGTGGCTGTCTGTTTTCTTTACACCAAATTCTGCAACGATTTAGCAGTGAAATTTGTTTCACATGAAAGCAAATTCAACTTCCAGGTTTTGAGGCATCCACATATCTTACTCGGCAAAAAGACAAAACAAAGACATTATTAATAAAATCTACTTTCCGAATTTGATGCAGGATTTTCAGGATGACATCGAGATCTTCAGTGTCACTATGTCCTTCAGCAACTGGTTTATGATAAAAATTTTGTTTATAGAAACTGTGTTTGGCTGCTCTGAATCAATAAGGGAATAATAATTGCTAGACTAATGTTTGTTGTGCCTTTAATTCCATCCCTTCAACTTTATTCTATCCAAGTCCCTTTGCCGGTTGCAGCCTCTTACTACATGGGATATTAAGCCTTTTTTGATAAAGCATTTATGTACTTTTGGTCATCACTTTAGGTTCGCATTGATAGATTTTCGCTGATTGTTTGATACAGGCTTCTGATTTCTTTCTTTATTTCTTCACATGTTCTATTTATGTTACAGCTAAGACGAAGTTGGATTTACGGGTTTTAATCTGTGTGAAAATGCAAGTCTCAAAGAAAACAGGCGTATCATGAGGCATAAACGTTTCTGCAATTACGCAGGTCTTCAAATTTAATGCCAAACCAGACCTAAAATTTCGAAGAATCTGCTCATCTTTGGCGATAATCAGCTAATTGAAACTGGATATCCAACAGCGCCAGACATTTAAATTTGACGGCTGGACCATGAAAATTTTATGTCAAACACTCTGCAAGCAACATGTTATTACATCTTGGGTATATGAAAAACTTACAATTTCCGTTTGCTCTAACCAAACATGCGCTAATTTTAGAATATTTTCATTGAGACTTGACGAAAAAATTTGATTATGGCTCAAAACTGAAAATGTTTATTCATTTCGATGGCTTTTCTGTAGCCAACAGGTGCAGAGGAAAGTTTTTACTTGTTTTGCATGCCAGTTGGAATTCTCTTTTGATATTCACACTATTACCGAGATTTGATGATAGCATAACTCATAACGCGCCACCTTATTTTGTTTAAACCATCAAATTGTTAGTTGGTATTCAATAGTACTGCTTCTTCGCAATATCATAAAACGATGGAAAATATTTCTTTTCAAGTATTGCCTAAATTTTACTTCGTGTCCAGGTCCACTTTTCCGAACTCGGATACTGTGTTTCTCACAAATGTTCAGTTAGGCATCCCATTTCTGAATTGCGTTTTTGGAGATATATGCAACCTGATTCTTTAGTTTTCTGTTTGGATTTGCAGTTCGCTTTATCAGGACTTCAACCAAATAAGGCTCTTAAAAGCATATACCCATTTCCCTTCCATCCTTAAAAGCAGTTTCAAAATCTAGTTGTGGTACGTCACATTTGAGATAACATCGCTAACACAGAATATAATGGCTCGTTAAAATAGAGTCGTTTGATTCAATTCATCAGCTGCGACGACCGCTTTGAAAACATTCTCTTTCATTTCCTTTAGACCAGAATCAAACAGGACTACAATACTGGTAATAAAATTTGAAACTTTTCAAAATTACATTTCTAGCAGTATTGTGTTGATAGCAGTATTGGTTTAGAGGCCAAGAAAGTGATGTGATAAAAATGAAGGATTTTTTATATAATTTGAGATATTCTATAAAGATTTTGTCTTTTCCATGACAAAACCTAATAAAACCAACTTAGATGGACGAAAATGAGATAAAACTAACCTTTGTTAATTTACGAGTCTTGGCCGAGCCATCGCCCAGTGGATTTCCCATACGCTTGAAATAAAAAAACTGTTAATATCTGTTTGGAAACGTCAATTTGGAGGGAACCAAAACAAAACTCTGGGCCATCATCTAATAGGTTTTCCTTCCGCATACAATGAAACTTTTTAAATCGTGACGTCAATCAAAGACACCTGGAGTGTCAAGTATTTGTATTGAAAGCGTGTATGGACGTGAGTATTACTCTTTTAGCAAATACTACAAATCAAACATCTTCAAACCCAAAATATGAGCGAAGCTCACCAAAAACAATCTTTGGAGAAATTGTACCTGTGGAGTGAGTGAACCTTCAAGTTTGAAATGAACATTCTCAATCATCTTATACAATCAAGCAGGTTTATAAAATTGTTCTGCTCCCTTAACTATACATCATCCCTTAGCTATACATCATCCCTTAACTATACATCATCCCTTAGCTATACATCATCCCTTAGCTATACATCATCCCTTAGCTATACATCATCCCTTAGCTATACATCATCTCGCCCTCTTGATATTATGCAAACACACATATTTCTCCTTTTCAAAGGATGTTCTTAGATTAATCTACTGGCAGAAGTCATAGAAATTTGTACTTAAGCCTGGTTCCCATAAAATAGTAAGAGGGTCTGCGACAGTCTGCATCAGTTTGCGTTGGTCTCCCAATTTTAATGGGAAAACTTTCTTTCGATCGTCACGACTGCGCTGACCGTGAATTGCAATGGTCGGGAGAGTTGATGTGAGCTCAACTTTCCCGACATTTACGACTCTTCCGATCAAAGAAAATTTTAATTGAAATATGGGTCGCCAGTCATTTGGGTATTAACCAATCATAGGAAAGTGATTTGGCGCGTTTTTGCTTGCTGTTGTTTTGTTGTAAAAATATTTTATTGCTTTCCGGCAGTTGTCAACTTGTCCCCGATCAATGGAAATACTTTTTGATCGTTAAGGAAGATGGAAGAAGAGATCGGCGACACGTTTCCGACCCTTACGGTTTTATGGGAACCAGGCTTTAGATTAATCGAACAATTTGTTCTTAGATTCATATGTTACATCACCAACTTCATCTCGCAACCTTGTTATTCAACAACTCCGAACAATAATTTCAGATTAATCTATTTGTTGAATTGGTGAAACTTTCCGAAAACATATTTTGACATGTGGCAAAGTTTCGACGAGAAAACGTGGGCTGTCACCATCACATTTCAAAATAATTAACAAACAAAATGGGAGAGTTTGACGTAGAACGCAGTCTTCTGTAACAGGTGTAGACAAAATTGCAATAAAAACAATTTTAAAAATAAATGCAACAACTGGGCGTTTCAGCGAAAACTTACATTTGTAAGCCCATGATCTACGGCTTAAGGTGATTTTAGCATTTTCTATGTTGTTAGGAGGTGGAGATGGAAGCCTTAGATAAGGCGATTGTTTCTTTAGCATAGAAAGAAGACCTTCTAATGCATACCACAAAGCTCCTTTCTGGTGCCTTTCTTATTCAATATTTCATAATAAACATTTTCCATTTACCGAGCCAATGAACTGGTTGTATGATACTGCTTCTTAAGACCTTGGGGTTAAGAGCACCATGGCTCTCGCAAGCAGGGTTTGCATAAGGCATATGAATCATGAAACTATGGGCTAGAGATTTCCAGAAGGATCTCACATGCTTCAAAGTCAACGAGGGAAAAAATAGCTAATACGAACAAGAGTTTGCCCATATAACAGCAGCCTGCTGAAATTATCCCTGAAAATGTTTAAAATTGCACTCACGAAATTATACCCTTAGGGGTCTCAGGCGACCAGGGAAAATATATCTGATTTCCTTGGAGCAATGTCCCTGAATGAACTATAGATAAGAGAGGAACGCACAACGAATAAGAGAAGGGTTAGAGAGTTGCTGACGACAGGGTACGTATAGACTGTCTCTTTCTCCGCTTTGTCCCTCCACAGGAACATTCAACAGTAAGGGGACAGACTTAATTGCAGAAAACATGAGAAGTTCAAGATCTTCCACAACAAGAAACTCCCCTTCAAGTATACCAACAAACAAAAAGATGAAAAAATCAAAAAGGGGCTCGTGTATTGGCGTAACGGAACAGTTTTGAGCCCTTAGGAATACTTTGCTTGGGGGCCCTTTCACAATGAATTTTTTTCAAGACGATCAATTTGAGCTTCGAAAAAGACCTCTCAGCGGTAGCTACAGTGACAGGAATTGTGGCGAAAAGAAAAAAAACTTTGTAGACTTGTGGAAATGAAGAGCTGACTCGACTTTCCAACATCAAATCAGCCAAGTCTACAGCTGTCAATTTCTCTTTTATTTCCACGCGAAGCTCGTTAGCAAATGCCGCAGCTCTGATTCGAAGTCCTCTGTAGAAATATTTGGGGAACAGGCTCAGCAAGTTGTTTGATGGTTTGGAGATGTCTTCGTTGGTGGCTCTTGCTTGAGGGTTTGGAAATAAAATATCAAATGTTGAAGTAACCAGATCTTGGCCAGAAAACCTTTCTTTAAGCTGCATCAAAGCAGTATCGACGCTTTTAAGAAACATATTGATTTTGACGATTAAGAAACACAATAACGGACCTTCTACTTCTAGTTTTTGGCTTGAAATCAACTACTGTGTGCCAAGCACTAGCAAAAGCAGACGCAAATTGCTTAACAGAGTCCCAGGACTGGCGTAGCACAACAAGCTCAGAAATAGAGCAACATATCAATCGAGATGCAACAACTAAGTCAATTTTTGGGGATTGCAATTCACGACAAGTTGTGCCGAATGCCTGTAGAATTCGTTCCTAAATTATAATAAAAAGAACGAATTCATAAGAATCCATCCTTTCTCTGAGTCTCTTTGTTTCATCTTGCTCATTTTTGTTTTTTGATGTCGGTAATGCGAGTTAAAACTGTCATAATATGTGGATATCTATCACCGAATATGTTTAATAGAAAAAATTAAAAACATTCTTCAATGTCCCAAAGAAATCATCATTCTCTGGTACTGCCCCCCTGAGTCAATAATGACCAGATTCAAGTTATGGCTGCCGCCAAGAACAAATGGAACAGGGCTATCAACCATATTCTTTATCAACGTTTGGACACCAAAATGTATTCCACGGCGTTAACAAAACATTGTTTTTTCAATATATTTTCATCGATCGTGTCAATCTGCATTCTTTCCAAAACTTCATTCCTTTTTTTCTATTTCCACAAAACTTTTTGGATAGCATGGGTTCACAAGGGAGTTTTTGAGTCCAGGGGAACACATCCCTGAGAACTTGGAGACGACAAAAATCTGGAAACCATCATGAATTATGTTTCTTATTGCCATGAATGATATAAAACATTAAAAAGGCATTGGGGATAAATATCTATTTGAAAAATTTCTTCCAAGATTCGGAAAGAATATAGAAATATAAGTGAAACAAGCATAGTTATTTCCCGGGTGCCGTTTTACTTAAAACTCCTATTCCAAATATCTAAATCAACGTTAATTAACTTAAACATCTTTCAAAATGCTGAGTGTGTTCACACTCGCTCACTTTTAAGATCCACTTGTTCAGGACTTGCCATTACAGAGGTCATTAGCAATGTCACAGTCAAAACATGACAGACCGCTGTAGCTTCACCCTGCAGTAAAACGAGAAAGGATGTTTTCCAAGTAAAACACCAGCAGCACCAATAAAAATCTACGCAATAGCAGAGTACAACCCGTGAAATGAGATCCGTTTTGTATAGAACGGTGCAGTGTGAACAAATAGCTTTGATCAACAAAAGCAGATGGTCGCTGTAGTGTGAAAAATCTTTCGGTTATAGCTTTACTTTGATATCAACGCTGTGGAATAGCATGGGGTCCCAACCACCCTAATGCAATTCAAGACAAGAGCTAAAACATTTCTGAGCTGTCGAGCGTTTTCTGAAAAACCAGAAATGTTTTTTCAAAGTTGCAAATTTTCATGCATTTTGTATACAAATCCAATATCAATTTTACCAGGCATTTCAAAGATACTAGAAAGAAAAGTCTAGGGACAATTTTATCAGACTAAATGACCCTATATCGTAATAGAAGTTTTGTTTCAAGAGAATATTTAACACAGAGCTCGCAGTAAAACTTTTTGCTGATATGATTCGTCTTACCGTGGACTAAGGCTATTGGACAGGTGAAGTTTTTATAGATCTGCTAAAGGCATTTGACTCAGTGGAAAACTCGTCGGTTCTGTAAAAGCTTCATTTTTCGGTATAACCGGATTCGCATTAAATCTATCTTTCTGGACGCTTTCAGTATGTCTATTATAACAATGTAAAATCAGTACTCCAACTGTGAAAAATTAGGGTACCACAGGGGCCAATTCTCGGTCCAATGCTGTTCTTTATTAAGATCAATGGTCTAGTAAAAGGGTTGATGGTTTTACTGTTCAAGCGTATGCTGATGATACCGTGATATACACAAGTCATTGAGACATCACAGTCAATGTAAACACTTTATAAGCTGATGTAACTGTTTTTAAAATTGCATGACAAAAGATCGTTAATTAACCTTAAAAAAGAAACGACAGAGAGTATACTGTTCAAGACTGTCTAGCGGCTTTGCTCGATGGCGATTTGCAAGCAAAATTGCACGACCACCTGATAAACTTTACATCTAAATCAAGTATGATCATTTGCAGGAGGTAGTTAAAAAGGTTCCAGCTCGAATCAAGCAAGAATGAGACAACAAGTCCAATGTTTGCTGCAAAATTGGTGCGCATTTCTTGCCAACGATACAATATTGCTCAACGGTAATCTTTAAAATACCGGACACAATAATGCAGAAGTGTGAGAGGCTCTGGAAAAGGGCGAAAAATATCGTTTACAATGAGGGAAATCAAAGGAGAGAGCATATTCTGCAGTATCCTCTAGCAAAAGAAAATGAAAGCTGCATTTATAATCTTCAAATGACTACTTAAAACAAGAATTTCAGCATTTCCTTCATACGCAGAGGAAATAAGCCATAATTATAACACAAAAACCAATACAGCAGCCTTCCGATTATCATAGTTAAGAACTGAAGCTGCAGGAAAATCGTTTTGGTTTCATGGACCTCCCCGCTTCAATGAACTTCCCAAAGAGATTTTTTCAATAAACTTTATTGCATAATTTAAATCAGAACTAAAAGAGAACTGTAATTGAAAATGATTTCCTGTAATAAGATATTGTTGTAGAAACGGTTTGTTGTAAACATACTTGTAATAACCTCTATTAGCTTAACATTGCTTTAGGATTACTTTTTTGTTTAACATTTTCGTTAAAACAGGGTCCTTGTTGAAAATAGTTTTTCTGGTTTTGATAAGTTTTACCCTGAATAACATGCATATTTTACAAAAAATATAAATTTAAAGTTTTTTATGATACTATGCTAGCGCTTATTTTATAACTGTACGGCAGCAACACGCCAAGATGTGATCTTCAACGTTCGCTAGAAGTCTAGGACTCTTATGGCACTGAAAAACAACCAAATGAAGAAACTACAATCATATCCTTATTAAAACAGATTTTGAATTAATGAAAGGGTATTCGAACCTGCTGCGAAGTTAGTTAGTTAATTAGAGCGGCTAGTCTTGTTTGGCTAGTCTTGTTTCGTTTTCAACGCCCTGAGCCGCTCCAACAAGGGAGGGTGTGAGTGATGGTATGTGGAGAACCACTTGTCATTCACAGGGAACTGAAGATTATCCTCGTTCAGCTTGATCAGTGACGACTGCAGCTCTTTCGAATAACCGAGCGATTTGGCAAAGGCATCCGCTTGAAACTCGAAACGACGGCTAAGTAGAGTTAAACAGAACCCAAGAAGCTGAAAAATAAGGCCAAATAATATCAGAGAGCATCCTTGAATAGTCTTTCACTAGGTTACCATTCAGGAATTGATTAGCAGAAATACAGGGGACGAATCTGGGAGGCCAGAAGAGAAACTAGTGGCAATAGAAGGCTAAACAAACGTATAATTTTTCAAAAGGCATGACAAAAAGTAATTTCTTTCAATGGAATATCATATATTTTTCAAAAGCCATTTGATTGACGTACATTTTTACAGTGTAAACGATTCTGAATCAAAGTTCTTAGTATATTGTTTTTGGTATTTGGACCATAACTGCATTTAAAATCTGATGGCAAAATCAGACTTGGAGCCCAGTATGTTACATATAACCATCCTTGACCTCGAGAAACAGGTGCATACTTAGAAAACCTGGTTGACAGAATTAATCAAGAATTGTTTTGAAAGAGATGAATTACAAGAGCCATAGGCAGAGATAATACCATGATTAAAAACACTTACTTCGTGATAGGGCGAGAAGATAAACTGGAATATGATCAGTAATCCAATAAGGACTGGCTTAGAATCTGGAAAGCCAAAACTTGTGTAGAGAATATCCATGTCCATCAAAAGCCCAAACAGAAAGAAATCCAAGAACAGATTGACCTAAGAGAAAAAAAGAATTTAAAGAGCCATTTCCAATATAAGTATAAGATCAAAATCATAGATAAAATGAATGACAGGTTTCTTCTGCACCAAATCAGAAACAGACGTGGAAATGTGAAAAAAAACTCTTTACAAAAAGATCAACAAACATTCTTGCAGATCTGTTAACGGCAGAAGACATTTGACAGGCACGACAAAACAAGTTTGAGGGATGGTTAGCTTCAATAGTATAAAAGGAAATGAGGTAAGAATAGTTGATGGAAATGATTGGTTAAGGTAACATCAAAGTTTAGAAGAGCGAGACATGGGATGGTTCCGCACGTGAAAAGGATTGAAGACACCTGGGTGAGAAAAGTGATGGAGATTGAGGTGGATGGAAAAAGTGCCAGAAGAAGACACACTCGACGGATGCACCGTCTGAGAGTGGCTCTTTATCCGGATGAACATAAAGACCGATATGGTGACAGGGGTTCTGAAAGAGCAAGAAGTGACAAATCGAGCCCTCTGGAGGTAAAAATACGGAGTCACGACACAGACAAATGCCTGGTCGAGGGAGAGAGTTCAATGACAGGACACTGCTTAAACGAAATTAACAAAAAACCTTCGAAATCGGCTAATTGATTCTCTCAAAGACTCGTCATAGATCAAGGTACTCTCGCAAAACATGAGAATGGTATCAAGTAAATGTCGGTAATATACAAATAAGACACCTTGTCGGGCGTGTGTCAAGACAAATGTTCACTTAAATAAATAAAGTGGTAAAATTACCTGGCCAATTATTAAATGCTTCAAGGTATGATTTAACTTCCAGTGACCAAGCTCATGGCCTAAAACTGCTAATATTTCTTCATTACTGCATCCCTTCCCGCTTTTCTCTTCCTTCTTTTCGTTCTCTTGTATTTTCGTATCTTCGTTTTGATATTCCTTTTTCACATCCGAATTCTCGTCTTCCTCATTGCCAGCCTCCTTTGCTTCTTCAACTTTCTCCTTTTCAAGCTCCTCTTTCTTTTTCAATTCTTCTTCTTTCTTTTCTTTTTCAAACGGGCTTTCTTTCAGCAAAGTATCAAACAGAACGATCCTTTTGTTTTTGAAAAACCCAAAGAAGTAGGCATTACTGTGCGCCGATCTTTTCGATCCTTCAACAACCAGAATTTTGGTCAGTGGAAAATCGATTGACGTGGCTAACTTTTCAATGGACGACCTAAGATCGCCTGCGGGCAGTTGGATGAATCGGTCAAACCAGGGGGCGATGTAATCGTGGTATATGGTCATCAAAAACTGTAATCATATAATATGCAATGAAAATCGTTTAAAGGGTATTGCGCGTAGCAGGGGTCAGTCGGGAGGCAAAATACCACATGCAGAATAACCCTTACTCTCACGCCTTTTGAAATATGCTTGTTTTCTTCGCAAAAAGATGGCATTAGTGATGAAAATCATATCTTGCTCGTGATAATCTAGAGTTCAAGAGAACAAAACAAAAGGTTACAAAAGGTTAAGCAAGACACTTGTGACTTTTAAAACTGCAGTCAAGGCCTCGAATATTTTCAGCGCTGGTTTTATTTGCGAAGCGGCGAATGAACGAAGCATATATTTTCTGAATCCAGGAATTTTATGATCCGCTGGCAGCGCATACATTCAGTAATCTACCGCTGACATTAGGACCAGTAAAGTCCAAAAAGAGATTATCAGCTCTCTTGAATGTTTGAAACTTTGGCATATTTAGTTGAATACTTCTGCTTTTAATTCTCTTAAAACCGGATGGCCAAGGAAGTAGCGAGATTTGTTTTCGAGAGTTTCGAATCGAAACATCTAACCAATATATCAACTTATTATTTCTAGTTAATTTTTACAAAATAATATTCGCAAAAATTCAAGAAAATCCATGTTTTGGTATATATTTATCATATGATATAAACCTTATCCGTTTTGAAACCTTATAAAACTTTTAACAAATAGGGCCGGGTTAACTTGTTTGTTTTATTTATCCTTTCGCTGTAAAATAATCAAACATCAAATATCAAACAAAACGCTATTCTAATTTTTCAAAAAACTTCCACGACACCAATTCTACCATAAGATTTTTTAACTTACAATAAAAAATACACAAAAATACACCAAACATTCCTTTCCAAATTCAGGTTTGAAATACAATTGGATCCACGTTAAAAACATTTGCCTGCTAGACTTTTGTTGTGAAAACTTTCTTAGAAAAAGCGATATTTAAAAAAAGGCGCGAATTGCGTCATCCCCCAGATTCCAGCAGCATTCTACAATAACCTGGTTACATACTGCTGGATTTTCATCCTCGGAGGCTGAGAGGAGCAAAACTTCTTACCAAAGACACAGCTAGAGTAAATGCCCATGCATATACAAAGAAGTACGAACCGCCAACTCTCACGATCCAAATCAGGACAGCCGTTACAGGCAGTGAAATAATGCACGTCAAGATCAGCCTCTTTACCAGGTCCTTGAAGTAGAATCCCAGAGTCTGCAAAGGAGGCAAACACTGTAATATACATTGAACACATAAAAAGTACTGTAAAATGTATTACGGTTAAACCCTCTTTTCACAAACCCCGTCTCCCGATAAGCCCTTCCTGAAATACCCTCCTCCCCTCATTTTCAAGTAATATCCTCGGCAAGGAAAAATGCGAGAAATTGGATTAAAGTTCATAGTATTCATCTAGCTTGACGGTCTGACCGTAGGACAATGCACATAGAATGTAGCAATTTGTTGATTCCGGTTTTTAACTTTTTGTTTCTGATAAGGCTTGTAAAGTAATTTTTAAAAAACATTTCAAGAGTAATTTTTAGAAAATGTTACAAGCCTTATAGCATACAAAAAGGTAAAAACAAAAAGTAAAAAATTGTTTTATTTTACGTTCTTGTACTAAATACACCTTCCCATTCTAATAAGCCTCTCTAATAAACCCAAAAAGAAGTAAATAAGCCGGGGGCTTGACGGGGCTAATTTATCAAACCTTTTACGGTAGTCTCGATCTCAAATTCAAACTGTCACAGAAGATTCCTAAGTTGTCATAAAACAAATGTGATCTTTGAAATCTTTCACCTTCCCACACTTTCACTTCAACAGTTATTAGTTGCACTCCTCTTTCCACGTGCGTCATTCAAACTACTCCCTAGTTTCACATCGTCCTAAAGAAATTACTGGTTCTGCTTCTTAAGATTCGATGGAAATAGATTTTCCTGTTTTTGTTTTTTGTTTTTAATGTAATCCAAAGTTTTGTCTCGAGGGGATGATGACTATTGTGTGATAATATTGTGATGACTGTTGTGTGAAAGATATTTTGAAATGCAAAGACGTCTTATCCTTAAGATTGCTTTTACGTTTCTCTGTCATTCGACCTCAATGTAAAACTTATATTTGTGTTAGTTGCATAACTTGTGGCATATGCTTGCGGTAGGCCAAAGAAACCTTAGAAGTCTGCAAATTTCTAGGAAAACTCAGTTTTGGAGACAAATCAGTTTTGCAGCCAGCCTTCTTTTCAATTTTTGCTGTATTGAAGAGGTTTCAATATACGATTCCCTTTAGAATAAAAACAACCATTTTAGTGAGACATTTGAGACCAATCCAAGTTTCTGAAAAAACACTGTGAGCGATTGACATGGACAGGGTAGTAATCGAACCAGCGACCTTGTACGTTATTGCTTGGCCTATCACCTGGTTCTGAAAAATTGAAATAAACTCAGAATTTCTTGAGAATGGAATGGGAAATTCTTGAAAAAGAAGAAAATTCAATTTTTCCTGTCATTTATTCAAAATTCTTTTGCAAACGTTTTCCGTGCATGTACAGCTGGACTTCCACACTACATAATGTAATCTGCTCTTTAAGCCTGTCAAAATCAGTTTTAACTACAGGAAATGGCTCTCAGATTTACAATCAAAACTGCATAGCACTGGGTCAAGTCAAATTGCAAGGACATTTTGCCATGTTTTCTGGTATTTCATAGCTCTGTACAGTCTTTTTTAGTCAAATTTACTCCTAGTTGACATTTCTTAGTAGAACTTTTCAATATCTCTATTGTTTGACAAGACACCTGCTTGGCATTTTGCTTGATTATTCTTGGTTTCTACATGAATAAAAGAAAATCAAAAGCACCATGTTCAGCAAAACCGAATGACATTGAGCAAATCAGAAGGAACAGCTGAAGTTAAAAAATCCTAGAAACGGATGGATGTTTTTAGAACTACAACAAAATACGATGAACATCAAAGTACCAAACGCAGAACACATCAAGATTCACTATCTATAGGAATTTGATTCTGTCTAATGCCTTTGGCAACCTTAACCCAAGAAACTTTTGTAGATATTATTGAAATTGAAATTGAAGATGTTTGCCTGCTGAACAGTGATGTCAAGATGGAACTTCTAAAGCAATGGACCACCTCTGTTGGGCTACATTTCTTTAAGTTTACTGAGTGCTTCTGAAAGAGTGATTGTCTGGGCGTTACTTACTTGCTTATTAAAGCCATGACTCTCCTCTACAACAAAAGTTCCATACAGACTCCATGGTAGACTTCTTATTGTACTGTATATCAAACATAATACCATAAACATCATAGAGTGGGTTATCTGCGCAAAAGACAAACAGTAAATGACTAATAACATATATATATTTATCAAAATACAGACTTGAACTCTCAATAATACAGAACCAAAGTATGTTACAACAGAGAGGAACATAAGTGCTATATATAAAATCTGAAAAAGTCTAATAAGTTTATGTTGTTAAAAAACAAGAATTACTGTTTATTGCCCTGTTTTATTGAGCTGGATGCCATATAGACAGAGCGGTGCATGCAATTTCAGTTTCAATTGTTTTCATGCTTTCCTATATACAACAGAACAGTTTCAAGTTCAAATTTTGAGCTACATCTATCATGGTGGGGAGGGGACAGCTGCCTAATGATAACAATAAGCATGAAACACTGAGTTGTAACTTAAAATTTTGTTATAAAATATTTAAAAAACTACCCTGAAACCAAAATTTCCTTACCAAACAAATTTAAAAAACTGTCTATTGTGTTTTATGGACATCAAACAAAAAGGTGGATCAGACTAAAACTATAGAAGGTATGCTATCATAGAATTATGTTATTAGAAATTTATGAGATATGTTTGAGACAAGAATACTTGGACTAGCATATGTGCTGTGAAGTGGTGTGTTACATACCTCATATTCTGAACCAAATCCAAAGTTTCCAATAATGCTCCCAGCCAGTTCCCATAAAAATGGAATCCCACCAAACATCAGAATGAGCTAAAATGTGCACAGAAAAACTGCAATTAAAGTTTATATGCCCCATTATTTGCATATGCTGTAGCTAATTTATTTATGACAAGTTTTTTATTTACTGCCTCTGCTTTCTATTGTTTTTCTATTTGTTCAAATGTTCTGAATCCATTTGTTCTGATTCTTATTCATATTAACTAAAGGATAATATTTAAAGATATTGTTATTAAGTTTTTTAAAGATATTGCTTAGAAAAAAGGCAGCCCGATGCTGCGGTAATTTGGTCCAAGTTTTATTGCATACAAGGGTCCTCACAACAGGTCTTCAGAGTGAGAGGCTCGCACTTTATAATAATGGTGATCCATTGTGGTGGACCAGACTAGTGAAGCACACAACAATAGCTAAAAATATAGAAAAAATTTCTGGTTTTATGTCGCCCTATTAGTTTCCTGCACATCAGTTAAAAAGATAACACATAATTTTAAAACTGGCATAAGCTTAAACACAGTTCTTGGTGTTTTTGGTGCAAAACGCCTTCTTTAAAATTCTACTATACAACATATTGGATTCTCATCATCGTTTTGCTTTGTTCCTGTCTACTATTAAATAAATATTTTTTGCCTCAAAATATTATACATACATCTTTACAAACAATAGTGTTGGAGTAAAAAGTTCTCACACATGACACTTGCAAAAGTTGCAAGAAAAGTATGAAAATTTGTCTGATGAACAAGACACGAGGACCCAGTTTATGCCCAGGCCTCTCTAGGAATAAAAAGTATGCAGGCTAAAAAAGACCCCTGCTGGTTTGGCTGTGTGGGCTATTTAGCCCTTGCAGAATTTGTTGTTTATCTTTTTATATTTGAGCATACACAAGCCAAAAAATATATTCCTTGTCTACTTGTTAACATGATTTATCTTAAGAAGACAGTTGTTTTGTGTGCATTACTACTCCTTGAAATTACAAAAGAGATATCTGGTTTTCTTGTAAAATGGCAACGTTTTGTGTAGAAACACAGCTATAGTGAGTAGTATCCACGGAACTCATCTTTATTCCAAAAGAAAAAGAGCAGGTCAATGTTATTTAAAGGGTAATGGGAGGGCAAAAACAAATTTCTGACACTTTTTTAATTTTCTTCTGATTGCCCAGTTGCCATTTCTTATATAGTGTGTTTCTTTTAAAAAATGAGTGCATTTGTAACACAAATTTTGTACAACAATGTTGTGTAACAATTCTCATTCTTGCTATTTTACGCTATCTGTTGTTCCTTTCCTGCACAACCATTTCCTATTCCATTGCTAGTTGTAACAGGTAATACTATAGTTTGTTAACATTTGATGTCAAAAGAAACAGAAACTTCCTTTTCATAACGATATTTATAAAAACCATATATCTCTTTGACTTTTCTCGATTAAAACATTTGAATCAAATGATTGCAAAAATCGATACATTAGTATTAATATATCAACATCGTTGATGTCTCTGTGACTTGTTGGGCTCTTTCTCTGTGCAATGATTAAAGAGGCACTGACACAAATTTTTGCAGCCAAAGATTTCAACAATAATTAATGAGCCACAGGTTGGGGGCTCAAGGTATTCAAAAATATATTTTGTTTGCCGGTACCCCCTGTGGAAGTAAAGTTTTGAGATTTTAAAAATTGGGAAATTTTTGATACCCTAGTTCTTTTCTGGTCTGCTTCGCAGAAAAAAAGGTTTTGAAATCATTTGGGAGTTCTCAGTTGGGGTTTGTTGCCCCGGCTAGTTCAACTGGTGGCTGATGTTTTTTTCCTTGGCTTGTAAAGGAAGATGGAGGATGTGATGACCCCTTGTAATGGGGGTGTTAGTAAAAGATGCTTCTTCGGTTTTGTTGTCGTTATAAATGTGCAAATCTTGTTCCTGTGTTACCACATGCTCACGCCATTTCTAGCACCTTAGCTTTCATCCAATTCATACCCCATATTTCTGCCCCTGTCTCATTTCACACAAAAATTTTGTTCCCACAAAGTACAAAATCTTTACATAAACCAACATCCAAGCATTCGGGATATCACTCAATTATTACAATTTTTGCGTTAGTGCCTCTTAACGTGTTCTGCTCTTACACTACAAGGGAAGAAAATTAAATCATAAAATGCTAACTTACTGTTGCTTCGATTTGAGAATAAGTACTTGACATGAAGCCAAGCTTTGACTTATCAACTTCATATAATCTTGACTTTTCAAAGGTTTCTGTTTTCAAATGTGCTTTTAGTTCTGACGGAATTTCCTTGGTGTTCTTGTAAACTTGATACTGGAAATAAAGACAATTTGATAAAATACCTTCCCGAACAATATACAAATGCAAGCTTAGATGCAAAACTCAATAAACAAAAACTCAGAATTGTAGCTATAACATAGGTAGAAATTGATTAAAAGATAAGGAAGAAAAAAATTTGCAGTACATGACATTTAAGGTGTTTGAAGCCAAACTGGAAGTTAGAGTAATTTGAAAGGATTCTGTAGTTGATAGGCCACATTGTATAGTAGATGTTAGTTAGCAGACACATTTGATACCTAGTCGAAGCATAAAGTTAAAGCCAATAGCTAGTGAGAGAGAGGTACAGGATCGTTATTAGTTGCATAATCAAGAGCATTGATCTTCAAGCAAGCCTTGCTCTAAGTAAAATGAAGGTGCTCCATAAAAAGAGCCCCTTAGAAACTATAGGCGCTCTATTTCGCACCTCTAAGTGAATGTCCTTGAGAGCATCCTTCGAGAGCTTTAGGAGATCGAGAGATTCAAATCGAAAGCTTCGGAAGAATGTTAAATTTAAAATTCAACGGTGATACCATAAAGCACTATAATATGAAATAACAAAACATGCAACAAACACTATGTTAATATAAATATAGAAATATAATAAAACAAAGTCGCAAAATTGTTCAGATTTTTCTAGATATGTAAGTTGCCATCATTCGATGAGCTTTTAACAGTGTCAGTATCACTACTGTTATGTTTAGCTTCACATATTGCTTCATCAATACGCATTGCTTTATATCGAACATTTAACTTTGTTTCCTTTTTTCATTTTATCCATTCTATAAGAAACGCTAGAACATCTACTACTCGCAAAAGCAAATGAAAAATGAAAAGCAATGCGATAATTTGGACGGAAACGTGATCGCTGATTTGCAGAGGCGATTTTAAGTTATTAAAAAAAAGAAAATAATATATACTTCAATAGAAGATTAACGCTTGCTCGAAAATCAAATAAATCTGCCGGAGAATATGCTTGCTTGATGGCCTGTATCCTTGATGGTTATTAGAGGGTTTTCAGATTAAAAATGATATCGAAAACCCAACGTTGAATTTGCTGAATTTTTTCTCAAGGGGTAATCTTACGCAAATCATAATATTGCGGTCGGTTGGGAAGATTGTTTATGCTTGATCAAGTTGATTCAACAAATTCCAAAAATTCATTTTGCTCCGTGTTAATATTGTTTTTACGTTTTGAGGGGCTCTATAAATCGCTCTCCAAGGCTTTTTTTGGGTGCGCTATAGGCGCGCGCGCTCGATCGAGCGCCTTTCCGGGCAAGGCCTGTTCAAGCCTAGTTTTTTATATATCATAATCCATCTTTGATGATCCCTGATGCATAGTATCTCTGATAGTCTATGACTTCCCTGGAATTCAGCGATGACCCCAATGGTCAGGTCAGGGCAGAGGTGGATGCAGAAAAAAAGATGACAGTCACACATTAAATATACTCAGCAAGGGGTTTGAGGGCCTCTCTCATGTTCAAGGGCAAAGCCATGATGGTAGCTCAGCCCTCAGGGAGCAGAGCAACTATGTCTACTTTGAAAGGAACAAACCCTAAAATTTTACCATGTCAATTATACTAACGCTCAACATGTTCTGCTAAGCAAGAGTTCTGCTTGCATCACTTTCTAACTAATGCATTTTGATCAATGAATGGGCTCAATCAAATGTCTTTCTCTTTGAGAGCTGACGTTGCAACACAATGGGTTCTAAGGGCTTGCAGTAGTTCTCAGGGTGGATTAGGGATCAGGGCGGATCTGGGGAAATTTTTTCAAAATTTCAGCCAGAAGGTTCAAATTGTTCAGTTTATCAAACATTTCTGCCTTTTAAAGGTTTTCCAAATTCTCCAGCAATCCAACATGCAGTTGAAACAAAACATCTGGAGATCCAAAGTGTACACCCCTTCCACATTGACAAATGAAGAAAATTAGGAATCTTCTTCTTCACAACTGCCAACCTTATCCACGTTATAATAATAATAATAATAAATCGAATATTTTAACAGGATAACCTATCAGTACAATATGTACTGTTGTCATTAGGGTCCTGATACTTAATAAATTAATGGTAAGATCTAAAAACAGATTACAAAAGTTCAATATAGTCCAATCTAAAGATAGAATAATTTTACATCAATTAAAATGAGTTTCTAAAAATCGTCTAAAAATAGTTCTAGATTTAATCTTTCTTGCACTTAGTGGCAGGTCATTAAATTCCTTTCCTGCCTGATAGTAAAAACCTTTGCGTCCAAATTCTGTTTTCACTTGAGGCAACTTGACTAGATGTTTGTCGTTTCTAGTATTTTTCCCATGAGCATTTATAACGAAGTAATCTGTCATTGCATCACAAACATTGCCTTGTAAGGTATCAAACACCAAATTACAGGACCTCTTTTTCACTCCTGCATTGATACTGGGCACACGCAAGCTGACAGACGTAACCTTGGTCGATTTAATAACATCAAGGCTTCTACTCTCAAGACTTTCAATTCTTTTCTTGTATGATGTAGACCAACCGAGGGACAGCGTACCACAATATCCAAAAACAGGCATTATCATGGTGCGATAGATCTTTTCAGCGCTCGCAGAGTCAATGGAGCTCCTAATGCGTCGAAGCAAATTTAATCTTCCTGTAGCTTTTTTAAAAACCTTGTCAAAGTGAGTTGCAAAGTTCAATGATTGATCTAGATGCACTCCAAGATACTTGTAACTTAAAGTCCCTGCAATCGATGTTTCATTTATTTCAACTTTCATCTCCTTCTTCTCTGTTTTACCTAGTCGTTTAGCTGTGCCAAAGATCATTGATTCTGTTTTTCCCTTTTTCAAGTTTATCAGTAGTTCCTTTTCATCGAACCAGGCTTTTAGGTGTCCCAGGTCATTATTTAGCTTGCCTTCAATTTCATCTATGGAACTGCCTGACACAAATATTACTGTATCATCAGCGTATGTTATGATTTTAGAATTCTGTAGAACAGTGTGAGCCGCATTAAAATGCATTATAAACAACAGAGGACCAATAATCGATCCTTGTGGTACTCCACAAAATACTGGCGTGATATCAGAGGCACATCCATTACTTTGAACAAACTGGCTCCCGTTAAACAAGTAGTCAGTGAACCAGTTTAACTCAGTACCATGAATCCCAAAGGAAGGCAGCTTGTTTAGAAGGCTTGAATGACTGACCGTGTCAAAAGCTTTTGACAGATCGATGAAGATGGCCCCTGTGAGGGAGCCGTTGTCAGCTTCCTTTCGTATATGATCAGTCAAGAGTGTCACTGCTAATTCTGTTGAGCGCTTGGAACGGAAACCAAATTGAAAGTTGAACAGCATACAATTCTTTTCCAAATGGTCAAGCAGCTGTTTGTGAATGAACTTTTCCAACA